TTTTATCAGAGAGAAAGCAACAACAACAGTTAAAGCAGGTTAAACATCTCTACAGCAGAGGAATTCTGCCCTGACCTTCATAGATGACTTGATGTTAGTCTCACTGGGTCAAACATTACTGGCTCTTCTTCCTGTTGCTTAAATCATAGTAACAGATAATAAAGCCTTGCTCATGTTACTCTCTCTTTCCAGGAAGAAGTTGCCACAAAGAGGCTGCAAGTTCTGGCAGAGATTTACGCATGCTCAGAAAACAAAGTTTGTGTTTAAATATGTTCCTATCCTGTAAAATTTTGGGAATTTCCATAAAGCTTTTCCTGAACTTTGGCCTTATTGACATCTGTCTTAGCTGCTTATTTGATGTTGTCCTAGTATTAAGAAAGCTTTCCATTATTATACATACGCAAAAATGGGGAAAGAGTACAAATGTTCTTCTTTTTTATTTTTTTGTTAGAATGTGAAATGAAATGTGGAGTAAGTTCTCATTTGTGTCTCGTTTGCATGTAGCAGCATGTAGACTAACAAAAGGAATCCTTCCAATGGACTATGAGAGTTAAGCAGCTGTAAGAGGTGCAACCAAGCTCTCAAGTTTCCCTTTAGCAGAGGTAAGGAGTTGTAAGGTAGAAACCCAGCAGCACCGATCTTTCAAAGACAGAGCACCCATCTGAAGTGAAAATCTACTGTTTGGTTATACTTCATATGCATAATGCCAGTAGAAGTTGCAAGGTTTCACGCATATACTGTTAAATAAAACTGCCTAGGCTGATACACTGTAGTCTGGTCTCTGAAGTAAAAAATAAAATAAAATCATGCTTTAGCGCTTTGGAGATCATATTGCACAAGGGTGAAAGTAGACAGCATTTAGGGTCTCACCAGATTCCTTCCACGACAGTGAAAAACAGGCAATGAGTTAGATAATATCTCTATACTATCTCTTTACCTTGCTTATTTGTTAAAAAATAAACTCATATATCAGGAATACAATGGGAGCAAACCACAAAAAGGTAGGTTCCTCATGCAGGAATCCTTGAGTGTGCCATGTAAATAAACCTTACATTCCCCAAAATTTGACTGCTCCTTCAGAAAACAACAGACAATGCTATGTTTCTCTGCTTTGCACCCTAACACATACACAGGCAACAAACTGTGCGAACTGAAAAGCCCTTTGCACAGCCACCAATAAATCTGAAGATCTTCAGATTAATGACTCACCTGATAGCAGCTATTAGTACTTCCCAGCCCAACACTATCACCACTGGTAAATGGAGATACCAAAATAGAGCAAGAGAAAATGCAATTTATCTCAGTAAAGCAATTTACCATAGATACTTAATTCTCTCACCTACACAATACCCATAATGACTTTGCAATCTTATATGACTTTGCAATCTTTGCATAATGGAAGATTGCCACCACCTGATAACTAAGTAAATATTTTGATACAAGATCAGGACAGATAGGGTCTCTCCTCAACTGACATTGCTCCTTTTGGAGGGAGAACTCTCTGTAAAAAAAAGTGATTGGCTGCTGTGATTAGGAAGGATTTCTAACCTTGAATTTAGCACAACAGTTTTTCCTCAAGAGCCATAAAAATGTTCCACCTTGCAAGGGAATGGCAAAGGAAGCACGTGCTATGGATGATGCTTACTGGATGATAATTGAGAGATCTCATTTTCTTGACAGGAATACAAGCAGCTGGCAAACCACTCAAGTTTTCTGTTTTTTTGCATGATGTAAGGACATAGCTTGTGGCAGAGGAAGGCAGCGATTTTAAGTTTACAAGCATTTGGGAGAAAAATGAGTCTTAGCTGGTGGGATCCAGAGCAATGGGGTGGTCAGTGACCCCTGCCAAGAGGTAAAAGGTACTGGTAGCAGTAGTAGCAGCTGTGCTGTAGTCTGAGCTGTGGCATTTTTCTTACTTCAAATTTTCAGGCACTAAGATTTACTAAAAAGATTTAAGTATTTTTCACTATTTTTATTCTAATCACTTTTCGGCCATACCTTTACGATGAAGATACAAAATTTTTCAGACTTTTGTTTCTTTTCTAACCTGAAACCTCACAGTAAATCAAACATTACAGTCTTTGCTCAGGCACAAGGATTGCATGAGCTAAAGGAAGAAAAAAAAAAAAAGAAAACAGAATTCATTAATGACTTAAGCAAGGTCTGGTGCATATAAATTTAAGAGCCATAATAAAAGTGGCTTGCACGTGGGAGATACTCAAATCCTAACATTTCATATGGATATGACTTTTTAACAGGCTTAGTCCCTTAAAAACTGCTACTACTAAAAGGGCAATCCTACTCTTCCCACACATGGGCTCTGCATATGTCTTCCTTTCTGTGGTCAAAGAGCAATCTGGTCTCTCTGAGACTATTTTATTGCCATTATTGCCATAAGGGAAGAGTGGGGATCAAGCAGCAGTAAATAGGAAGAGCAATGCCATTCTCTTCATTAGCAACTCAGAACATGAAAGTCACCTCAGTCAGGGTGTGAGGCAGTACCAGATGAATAGAAAGATGTTTCCTCTGGCTTTGCTTGGTGTTGGTTTATGTACATTTCACTAAAAGCCAAGTGAATCACAGTCTTTGTTTTCTTCTTAAGTGCACAACACCAGATGAACTTCATCCCTTTTAAAAGTGAAAGTCAGTACAGCCCTAGCTCTTGTATAGGTGACAGTGTCTCTTGTGGTGGTAGCCTCCTGGTATGTATTTACTTTGTACATCTACCCAAGACAGATTTAAAGGCACCTCCCTCACACATACAAGCCTGCAAAAGCACATGCTTCCATACTGCTATGCAGCTATAGCTGCACAGTCACCATCTAGAGCACAGTCACCATCTAGCTGCACAGTCACCATCTAGCTGCACAGTCACCAGTGCTCTAACCTACACCCGTCTTCTGGCAGACCTAGAAGGATCATCGAATATCTTCTGTGTACAGAAGATGAAAAAGCTGTGTGCCAAGCATTTACAAAATGCCTGTATCATTGGTGTTATCGAATCAGTATCAACCTGATCAGTCTTTTGTTCTAAAGACATTTTTTGCAGACCATGAATATGCATATGTGCTTTAGACATGTAATTGTTATCTCACTTAATCAGAATATAATTTAAAATATTTCACTATTAAGTCCCTTTGATATATAAAGTGTCTAAAATTAAAGGGTGGATGTATTTTACACAGTCTGTAGTTAGGACATTTAAAACATTTGTTTTTCTGTTTGCTTATCCTTTAAAGTCACGTATTTATCCCACAAACACAGAGTTTAGTTAGGATATTTTTCTTGTATAGGAATTCTCTTCAACTCCATCTAACAAACAAACAAACAAAAATTTGGCTTACTTATACTTTATGTCATAGTAAAGAGTAAATGCATATTTATTACTGAGTGTAAATTAACCAATGTTGAAACTATGTTGAAATGTTGAAAATTAACTAACAATTGAAACTAACAATGTTGAAAATAATTGTTCCATGAGCAAGATATAAAAACTTTAATAAAACAAAAGTTGCCTGAAGTTGTTCTGAAATAACATAATCTACTCAAAATCGCCATAGTGATGACACAATAACAGAACACTAAGCAAAAGAAAGGAAAAAAAATCCCCAAATTCATTGATTTATCCTTAAAAATGGCCTATTTCTTACATTGACTGTCCTTGTTGGAATCTCCAGCCTGATTTCTTTTGTCCTGTTCTGTATGTACAGAATGCAGTATTTTTGCTTCTGCTTCTTCCTCCACTTGTAATATTTTAAAAACTGTTTTTGTCACATCAGCTTTACAAGACTGTATCACAGATCATAGTCCTTGGAATAGATACGCTCCATCCCAAGAACACAGTGTTGGTGGTGATACTGCTACAAGTGCTTTATTAAATGAAACTATTGCTAGTTACTTGGATGTTTCAAAAGGCAGGGAAAAAAGGGATCTTCCAAGTTTTACTTAAAGGCACATGTCTGTCCATGTCTGCAGCCCACTCAGTCCCTTGCAAAGTCCTCAAATTATAACTACTTGGGATAAATGAGTTTTGAAAACTTACTAAAGCTCAAGCTTACAGTTACAAAAGGTTCCCTTAGGATAAAAGTAGAGAGGTCAAAAACACAGGAATAGAGTTTGATTTTGACATGTTAGGTTTGTTTCACCAGCAGCAATTAACAACTCTTAATACTTACGTGTCTACTACTTCTTTAAAGTGTCCTGTACCCCTGCCAGCCTTCTCTGAAATCACTGAGAGCCAACCAGATGGAAAATTTACCCTGATGTGTACTTTACCACAGCATGGATCTGTACTACCTTTAATCACAGTATTCCCTGCCCTGAAAAAGGGGAATACGTCAAGTATTTTTGTAAATATAGCTACTACACATGGCAAATGTCAAGATTTTAATGACACTCACTTTCCAGTGCTTTCCATCTTCAAAGGGCTTCCCACTGGTTGACGTGCTTTAGAGTAATGACTACTCAAAAGTGCCCTGTGAACTAAGTGCACAAAGTATAACGTTGTTTTCTGGCTTCTCTCCCTTGAGTTTATCACCCCAAACTCCTTAGAATTGGGGGCTGTATTCAATCACTGCTACATAGTCTTGACATATTATAAGCTGTTTCATGACAACATGGCTAGCGGGTAGGTAGTTTTGCTGCTTGATTTGTCCAGCAGTAGTGAAACAACCATCTCAACCTCCAGGCTTGGCAGGGCAGATGCAAGTCTTCCATCGGTAAAGCCTCATTCTTCCCTTTGTTACGAGTGCCATACCCGTGGACTTTGGTGGAAGCCAGAAGGCAGAATACAGGCTCTGCATCTTGGCCGTAGATGTAGCTTATCTCTCACCACTTGCATCATATTCAGCTGTTCTTAAATGCCACACTTCGTTCAGTAGTTCTTCTTTCTTTCAAGCCAGTCTTCAAGAAAATATTTCATAACAGCTCCCATCTATGGGATAATTATGCTTAGTTAGCTGTACTCGACAGTGATGATTTCATAACATGCCACAAACAGGTACCCATTAAATTCCTTTATTGGAGACAGAAACATTGCATAATTACAGATTTGATGAGGAAAACTGCAAATAGTATAGACTGTTTCTACGGCCAGCAAAATACAGTTATTACAGGATTTATAGACATACAAATATAAAGTGTTTCTTTCATGCCAGATGGTCTGTACGTAACAATGCCATTAGGAGCGTTTAATTGTGCTTCTACAAAACCTTTAGAGAAGAATGAGGTAGAGTTTCCTTTAGTTGATCCAGTATTTTTTTCACACATCTGTCCTTTACTGCTTTTATATGCTCAGATCCCTGTAAAATACCCTGTTAACTTTAACATTTAAGACAACAGAGACCCTTCAGAGGTGTTTACTTCTCACTCTTAAGTTACTGATTTCCCACTGCTACAATTCCAAGTACTACTACTGCAGCTTTCTAAATGTCTTGAAGGTCAGGTAGATTGGGATATCTGTCTTTACAAATTTACTGGTGTGACAAAAATTGTTTGCAAATAGCTTTAGATAAAACTCCTGCTTGTCTCCATCATGGCAAAGAACCTTCTGTCAATCTTTACTGTACTGGCCAGGTTTCCAAACCATTTTCCCAGGTGGAGGGAATAGATTCACTCTTTGTCAACATTCTTGACTAATGGGTAGAATTAATGATATATTGGTCTCCTACTTACAGTTCTGGTCAGCTACTGGGCCGTTAGAAAATGAATTGAATTTATGGGGAAAAAACAGGCCACTGACACGTAGAAATGTTTCTCAGTTTTAGATGGTCTGGATCACTACTATTTGTTTTTATCTATTACTTTACATTTTCATGACATATATAAATGTGTTGCAGATTTTAACTCAGATACTAGGGCTAAAATTATGAAGAATGTAGGCACAGGTGTAGGCATTTAAGCAATTGAATAGGAGCATTCATAAATAGCAATCTACCATGCTGCCAGATATTTGGTACACCTGGGTTGTCACTATTTTGGACTGAATGAGAATGGTAATTACCTTCTGAACTCTTGTCTTTACTGAAGTAAGGAGATGGGCAATTTTACTCATTCCTAGCATACCTGTTCTGGAGACAGAGGACTTTTCACTTTGCTTTTTGCTCTGACATTTGCTGCCAGCTCTTAGTACTTACCAAAAAGCCCAGGGTGCACTTGAAAGACACAGTAGAGAAAAAGACATGTTATTTCACCCGAAGAGGTCACAATTCTAGCAGAGACCAAATCATAATAAATAGGGGATTTGGTATACAGGAAGAAGTTGATTACATAAGGAATAAGAATGCTTGCATTCTTCTCTTCATCTACCAGGACATAATAATTTAAGATAACTGTTCAGTGATATTGTATCAAGTTCTAAAATGATAAGCATTGTTTTTATAAAAAGATGCAAAATTTAAAAGACACCATGTTCATATCTTCAAGAACGTGATCATAAAGTGAAAATCAATCTGTTCCTGCATGATAGTATTGCCTAAGATAACTTCTGAGCTCTTCCATCTCACACTTAAATGACTGCTAAAAGCATGAGAAAATCAAGAGAACCAGCTCTTAGAAACTTTCCTAACCCTTGCTTGGTTTAAAAAAAAAAAAAAAAAAAAAAAAAGCACTAAGCATATTTGACCTACTTTTCCCTGCATGCCTCTTTGGTCAATAACAAACATGATCCTGGACAGGAGGATGAAATGCAATATAATGGACTCCAAAGCATTAGAAAATCATTTGGTATGCTATAGCTATTTTTCTCCACAAAGTTGTCTTCTCTTTTTCTACCCTAACTACCTTAACTGCATTCACCAGATATTTTAAAGACTTTCAAAATGTGTTATCAACCTCTTTATTCCTCCCTAAGATCCTTCTGTACACATTAAATTTAATATTCTATTTTTTAAAGCATGGAGTAAGAATTCAGAACTGTGGTAAATTAAGACACAATAATTTAAGTTTTATGGTAAGCAAGCTCAGTATAAATTCATGTTCAAAGACAGGCACAAGTGTCTAGCCATGCTATTACTACTAAAGAGTTTAAACACCAGCATTTTTAGAAAAGTTGGGTGTGGTAAACCTTGCTGGTGCAATCAATAATATTTATTTCCATCTGAGATACTAATTCCAAAATTTCATCTAAAATCTAAAGCTTGACTATTATAATTCAGTATTGCACACATGCTAGGTCCCAACGTACTTTATCATTCAGAGTAAGAAAGAAGTTAAATTTTATTTATGAAGCTAGAGATATATTTGCCAGTTTTGCTACAGACAGCACTCAGATTTTGTGTGGTCAGGGAAAATATCCTGAAATTCCCACTAACTATTGGGCTTAAAGTAAGAAATAGGCAGGAGTGCAACTGCATGGTTTTCCACCAATACAATATCAGTAATCTCTTTTGCTATTATGCAAAGAGATTAGTATTAAATTGTTTTTCCAAATCTTAAGGATAGTGACAAAGCAGAGTAAAATACAGCTCTGACACTTCCAAAAGCTAAAGACTGCAAAAAAAACTTGTAGCCAAGATTCACACAGAGGTCTGTCTCAGTGCTATGTGGCAAGGTGTACCTCTACAATATCTGCAGTCTAATGATTCTACATTGAGAGGTACAATGCTTCCTCCAGGCATCACTTTTAAAGAAGACAGGAAGATAGTACTGTCTGAGAGGAGGAGGTGAACTTTCTTTTCATGCCTGCTACTACATTTCTGAACTACGTATTTTACTTGTTTATGGGTTCACACAGCAAAACTTAAATGTATTGCACTGTACTTGGTATCTTTGTCTGCTGCTTAAAAAGCTTTCTGGAAAGCTTATTTGATCTGTAATAAAATAACTTTTTTTTTTTTTTCTTCCCCAAAAAACTTTGGATTAGAGTCAAAAGCAGCAGGATTGGTATTACTACTACTCTGCACTTAAAAACAGATTAGAATACTTGTCCAGGGTCAGCCTGTTCAGGCATTACATGCTCAGGTAGAAAAATGAAATTCTGATCCCTGCACACCCGCAAGATAAAAACTTATTTATTTATTTATTTATTTATTTATTTATAAACTACCACTACTGCTGAAAGCAAAACCAATGCAAAATTTTCTTAAAGAGCCACTTTTAGTTTTGAGACCAAAGGACATCATGACAGGAAAGGGAGAGGCAGAGGCAAAGTGTTTGCAAATCTGTATGCAAATCTGTTTGCAGGGAGAGAAATACAAAAGAATGGCCTACCTCAGGCCGTGCTAAGCCATTGTTTACACCTTCCCACCTCTCAGTATACAAGCCTGCCACTAGGATGTTAAAATTTACCATTGGTAGGGTGTATCCCATGCAGAGAGAAAAACATGTCATAGTCTAACAGGATGAGCTATAATCTTTGTATTCTACTTTGTAGCAAGGCACTATCAACAGACAGATCACACTAAGCAATCTGCTGAGATTAGGTAGATTGTTTTGGAGAGGCCACTGAATTCAAGAGGGTTTCTCTTCTAAACAGGTGGCTATGGAACCCACTCCCAGCTGTTTTTCTGTCTACCTCCATCAAAGTCCATGTACTACACACATTTCAAAAAACTCACATTACAAATCATTCTTTCAAATATCCAAGTAATCAAATCCAAACTAATGTTCATTCCTGAGGAAAAATAAGAATATAGTAAGTGTGCAGGAGAAGACCAATAACATCTCTCTGTTGAATGAGGTAAGCTCTAAACAAGAGTTTACCTAGAAAGAAGAGTGGAAGACAATTGCTTTTTGGCTTGAGAGAGATGAACTCAGGTTCAGGTGTAAGTAAAGGCTGGAGCAGAGATCTCGCACTACCTTGGCTTTTGTCTTGTCAGATTTCCTTTCTACATCCCAGAAAAATCACATTTGCTTTGCTCTGCTACAGACTGGAAAGATTATCTACTCTAAGCAGAGACCTTTATTAGCATTCTTACTCAAGTTTGTCACTATAAATCCTCAGTGAATTTGCCCTCATTACAGCTAAGAATTTATTTAAGTAACACCAGTTGCTGATTCCACAACTCTTGGCATCAGAACAGTCTGCATGAAATACCAATTTCATGAAACAATCACTCATTTGAAGGACTTTCCTGAAACATGAATCATACTCACTAAACTGAAAATTAGGGACATGTTCAATACTGAAAATAACAATCAAAAGAATGAAAGGGGGAAGAAAGAACATACAAAAATTAGAGTTCATCATTATCATTTTAAAGTACCAGTGTTTGTAAAGCACAAACATGTGAAAGTCTGAATCTCATTTGATCAACCCAATTAGACATTAAATAATTGCAGCCAATTATGCAAATATCACACAATATTAATTTGTTGATTTTTTTTTTGAACAGTCTCAAATCCTCCTAATGTTAGACTATCTTATGTCTTAAATGACCAATTAACAGAACCATAACTAAGTAATGAAGAATGGATAATTGCCTAGTTATGATGTACCATACTCTTTCTATGTAAATCTGTTGCAATTAAACAAATAGGGCACATGGAAAATAGATGTGCAGATGTTCTTTTAAAATCTATTAGTAGCTCAGGGAATACCACAGTTCCCTCAAAGAAATTTTACAGGCAAAAAAAAAGGGGGGGGGGGGGGAATGGAGAACAACACCAAACAATTATTTACCCATATTCTTTCCTTTGGTTAACAGGATAAAAAACAGTGGTGTAATACAGGGTAGGACATCATGCAAGATCAGAAGAATTTCCAGTATGATGCTGACCAAATAGCTCCCTTTATTTAGGTTTTAAAGTTTAAAATCTAGAATCTATCTACCTAGATTTAGAAACAACCACAATGTTGAGTTTCACATGAGAAACAGCCACAGCCAGAGTAAAGCATGTAACCAAGACGTTAAAGATAACAGTTGACCATACACATACTACATTTTCATTCTTCTCTGCTAGAAAAGTTTATGCATTTCTGTGGGTCATTCCTGCTTCAACCCTTTTAATTTTGAAGTCTCCTCCAGCTGAATATGTACACTAGAAGGAGAGGTGTTTCTCTGTTTGGTATAGGCAACAGTGCAAACCACAATAAATGAAACTGCTTGGTTTCCTCACATTAAATTACTTGCATCCAATTTAAGAAGAGTTTTGCACAGCTTTCAGCTTCTAAAGCACAGTAAAATAATTATTCAAACTGGTCCCTAACTAGTGAATAGATTAATACTAGCACTCTCATGCCTTCATGGAGATTTTCAATACAAGATACCCATCAACTCTATCAAGATTTTGAGATGCTAATGTATCGTTCAACCACTTTTCCATATATCTGAAATTAGATACTTCCACTTTTCCTTTAGCTGCTAAATCTAAGATGAACATAAAGGGACAAATTTAAACAGTTCAGTAACAGAAAGCCATGTGTAGTTGCTCATTACATGACTTTTTTACAGTTACATGCCACATTTTAGTTAAAGGCACTCTTTAGTTACGATACTTGCCTCATTGGATAAAATTCTCTACCCCACATTGCATCTTGACATATTCCTCATGTTAATTTTCTACCCACCTTCTTAAAGAAAAATGAAAGACTACCAGCAGCTTATGACACATAAGATACTGAACAAAGTTCAGTAAGATACTGAACAAAGACCAGCACACTATACCAATTCAAATGGTTGGAAAAGCAGACACACAGTACTATTGCTACTGTAAGTGAAACAAATTTTTGTGCTTGCAGTTGTATTCTAAAGACAAAACTGTCTAATATTTTAACAATAGTTACACTGTCAGAAAAAAACTTCAACTGTTCTTCATTAAAAGATCAGATCGGACCACAGTGAAAGACAGTAAAAGTCATGATTTGAGGGAGCAAAAAAAAGATGGCTAAGTAGGGGTATGTCTTTAAAATCTGACCAAAAAAAGAACAGGAAAGCCATAATGCTACTTTTGAGCAGTTGTATAAGGCATGGATGGTCTATTAGAAATTCTACTTTGTCTTTTTGAACTATGTTAACAGATGACAGTAACAACAAAGAACTTATAAACCATGGGAGAGATGTTGTTGGGTCTTCTTAAGAAACAAACAAACAAACAAACAAAAATAAACACCATACAATAAAGTGCTAAGCATTTCCCTTAATACTGGTGGCATCTCTACTGCAACCTATGGAAATACACGTTTCTTCTTACAGAACTCCATTAGTGTCAATAAAGTTCCACCAGTTTTATACTGAAGTAGCACTTCGGAACATTGATACAGAATATGATGATCCTTTTTGGCTAGAGATATCTTAAAGCCATTTGACAAATTGGTGTGCAAAAAGACAAAGCTAATAAATATCACAGGATATTTCTTAGTGAACAGATGTTGTTTCTCTAACTATGGGATATATACTTTATAATGTTTCCAGAAAGTATCAAGACAGCATGTAAGACAATAGCAGAATATGAAGAATATGCTTAATTAGAACAAGACCAGGGCTTGCACTGAATCTCTTTCTGTCTCGGGCTACGTATTTTCTGCTGACAACATAGCTTGTTCCTCAAACAGGAAGACCCCAGTAAGATGCATATGTAGTAGTGGATGCTGGATACATTTCACAGTGAGCAGTGAAGGATGAGAAAATATTTTGCTGATCTAAGTCATGTGACTAGATGTTGAAGGAAATTCCTTTTAATTTATTCATTCCAAAGTCCTGGTTGCTTTCACTTTGTCCAAATGAAGAGCGGTTCAACTTCTACAGCCACTGATTTGTTTAACGTTATTTTCTAGACATTCACCAGAAGGTGACACTGCATCTGCAGCTCTCTGTTAAGCCAAAGAGTGATTCTTGTTTTGTCATGGTCTAGCTCAGTCCTGAACATCATGTACAGGAGGATGTATTCAGCTACTAGTGAGGTATGCCCTGCCCAGGCAGCCACTGCTTATCCCTACATGGAGGGAAAGGCAGCAGTCTATCAGGGAGCATTTTGCATGCTAAATCCACTCTGAGTGTGTGGGCCTAAAGGACAGAGCTGTTATTTGACAGAATACAGATGAAGGAATCTGTGGGACTACACAAACTAAGAAATCTCTCATACAAGTGGGTTACAAAAGGAAAGAGCATATGGCTAAACTTAACTGTTTCTTGAACACAGAGCAAAAGGCAGAATAATGTCAATAGAACCCTGCAGCCAACTAACAGGCAATGTCTGTGTTATACAACTTGCTCTGCTGGTGATGACAGTTAAAACAAACAAAACAAACTGAAGAGCAGTTGAAGAGCATTTTACAAATTTTTACACTGTACATAAGATACAAGGAGGCACTAAGAAACCATTAGGAAAGTTCTATTGCTAACATTTAGCACCTCTACCAAGAAGACAGGCTTCTAATAACAGGCTTACAGTAGAAAACAAAATGATTGTGTTCACATTTGCTGGATTGTGGAAACAATCATCCTGGGAAGTAAATTGATAAAGAAACTATGCTATGCACAGGCAGCTACAGAAGTTGTTATTATTTGTGTTTGTTCTGTCTGGAGGGTCTGAATTCTTTCACCTTCACGACACCAGCACAGCCCAATCGCTGTCTTCTCTTCCATACTGAAAGAAAGCAAAAATGGAGTTTAAGGATAAAATTTAAAAGTAAAAGTGCACAGTAATGATGATAATTTCTTCTTATATCTATCCTCATAAGGATTCATATCCAGCACCCTGATAGAAGCTTACATTATTTCTTATGCCTTCTGGTTTTAATTTGAGCAAAGCCTAAAAGTAGCTTGCAGATTTACACATCCTCCAACAAGTAAACTGTAAAGGAGTGATTCTGATCCTCAATTAGAGAAGGTACAGAATAGTCCTGCCTCACTAAAGCTTTCCATCAATTTAATATTGTTATTCCCTGAGGTCAGATTCCCTGAGCTTATTCCTAAGTATGCCCCCGCTCAAGCTCCAGTAAACATACACTTTTTTTTCTTTCTATTTTCAAGGTGTCATTTTATTACAACATTCTGACTGAATGTGAAATAAAACCAATCACAAATACTACAGAATGCAGTTAGAGAGAATTGCAACCCAAATAAAACAAGGTGTCTTCCCATACATGAACGAGTAGGGCCACCAGGCAGAAATGAAGGTGACCTACTACATGGAGCTGTTTTCCCTTCCAGGGAAGCATACAGTCCCAAGGCAGCACTTTTGGTTGTTAAATTGTCTCTGTGTTCTAATGTCACCAAGCCTGTAAACAACACTCCAGAGAGCCCCAAAAATGCACATATGGTTCATGTATGTAAGTAAAGCAGAGGTGGACAGGCTAGTGGCAGATGTAGGTTGAAAGCCCTTCCCCTTACAGTACAATATTCAGTGAGCTTGAAAACACTTTTTAGTGAGGAATAAAGTACTGTTTTTGGAGACTTTCTGTATGCAGAAAAGATCACTTGCTATTCTCTCCAAGAGAAAGTAAAAGAAAGTTCCTCCAAATCCAACTTGTTTATCAGCAGTAAATGAGATAAAGACACACTAACATAGGGAAGAGAGAACATCTCCAGATAAGGATATGCCAGAAGAACACAATTCTAGATGCACAAAGAAATAACATTCAGTTTGCTTGCATTTTACTCTTTGATCCAGTAAGTAAAGACTCTAAATGAGCTGCAGGTATATCTACTTTTTTTTTTTTTTTTTTTTTTTTTTTTCATTATTAATTTTGGTGTGCCTGTTCTGCAGTTTGTGATGTAGTTGACTAAACACTGCTGTGGTGCTGCACAGGACCTTGGAAAGAATTACTCGTTGAAAGGATCTCCAGTTTACATTCCCAGATGTCAGTGTGGTTGCCTTATGAAATGTAACCAAGAAAAAACAGAAGTATCATTAGTTTAACCACAAAGTACTGAATTACCCCGATGTGAGGCAGTTTTGCTGTGGGTGGGGGAAATGGAGGAGAAAAAAAAGTCTTTGACCTTCACATTGCTGTTTCTCAGAGAAAAGATGACTCCCCCGCCACTCACAAATCAGAAAGCAGGGAAAAGACAGGAGATTACTTGGATGTCTTGATGGCTCTAGGTACCATCATAATGCTCTGATGCTGATTTCAGAAATTGCAAGATCTGGTCTGAGTTGCCATTTGACTACGGTTTGAACCTACTTCCAGAATTAAAGAGAGAATGAAGATTCTGACCACAGTCAAGATGTTTTCATTTTGGAAATCAAAGCAGATTTAGTTTCCTTTTCTGACTCTGTCAAGAACACTATGACCTTAGGCTAGGCTATTCCATCCTTCTTTTTCTCCCACAGGTCCTGCTCTGTAAAAACGAACACATCCATTATCCTTCCCTAGCTGTCTTCCACTGGTCTACCCATATAGATTCTGTGACTGAAAAATATGTGCTTTTTGACTAAACCTCTGCTCACTGCTGTCTCTGACTTCAGTGTTTAAATGTATTTTTATCTCATGCAGTATAAACAATACATTTTACTTTCCTTTCACCTATTCCAAGTTGCATCCTGATCTACATTTTAAAGAGTACAGCAAAAGCTTTTTTATTCTCAAAGTATGGAATGCAAAACCACAAAAACATTTGACTGGTATTTCAGTATGTTTCCAAACAAAAGAATCTCATGTCTGTATCTCTTAACTCAAGCAATTACAGAAGACAGTCTTCTATGACTAATCCATTCATAACTACACCATTACTGTATACATTGTAAACTATTTATATAAAATCTTTATCAGCCTTATGTAATCATGATTTCCACTCAGTGACAGGAAGGGAAATGTATATTGCAGTACTACTACTGTCTCTCTCAATTGGTGTGAGAAATTAAATAAGTTCTGCCCATGAGTTTCTAATTTGTCACTCTAGCTCTAGTTCCCACTGAACAGCTGTTCAAATCCAGAGAAATCCTGTTGAATACACAAGACTTGCAAAAGAACAACGAGCAGTATGAAAACAGACTTGAAAACACAATAATCAAAATAATCTGAAAACATTAAACAAGGATGTTTTGTACTCAAAGGAGTCGGTATAATGATATTGGATATGGAACCCTGCACCTCTTGGTCATAGGTTCAAATCCAGGACACTGTTGGTACTGACAGCTATCACTGCCTCACAAATGTCCATTGTCCAGAATGAAATGGATACATTGCCTTAATTCAGGCAACACAATGGCACAGAGACTTAAGCTATGTCTGGCTGTAATTTCCATTGCATTTTATTCTTCAGAACATGCATATTCGTTGGAGTAACAGTCTCAGACTGCTCAAATGATAATAGCGCTAGTCCAATGGTGCTACAAAGAGATCTTCTTTTTCCCTTCTGGTAGAATATATATAAGATCTCTGTGAAAGAGCTTGAAAAATGTCTTGACATTCATGAATATTATATATTCAATTTTGTGTGTTACAGCATCATTTTCTCTATGACACTCTGTTGTCCACTTGAATGTAAGCTCATACTTCCATAGGTAGGAATGTGCAGAAATATAACCAATAAATGCTGAGTGACTCTTAAAGAGAAGGCAGCCTTGAGTCTCTTTAAAACCATGTTTCTAATGATAAAGCATTCGAACTCCCATGGCTTTTTTAAAGAAGGAAGAAAACACAGAAGTATATGTGTTATGTAACAATCCAGCAGATTCTAGGAATGATGGATTTACTGTTGGCTTGCAACTAACGAACACATGCTAAGTACATTCAACTCTGTATGCATAATTGTAATGTATAAAGGTCCAAAGAAGATAAAAATTAGAAGCAATCCATACTTTTTTAGCCTCCTCCAGAGCCTTGAGGGAAAAAGGAAAGCTAACGATGGGCAAGGAGGAGAGGGGTAGCAGGGAAGGAAGGTAACCTCAGGGAACAAGCTGGATGAATTTGTCTTGATTTGCCTTGACTCATAATCTACTGGCCAGGGGAGGAAGACTCATATTCCAGTGTAGTCTTCTGAAACAACTCCGGATTTCACAATCCATTCTTCTACAGAACGGACCTGCTTGTCTTGTAATACAAATAGCTAAAGCAGTACCTAACACCTCACACACAACATTCAAAAAGAAGGTGCTAGAACTGGCCTGAACTCTTTCCGATGCTGAGCTGTTCCATGACTGCAGTTAAAAGCGATCTGTGGAGACTCAAACTGACCATACATTGTTGAAGGCCCTAACTTAGCTTTCAGAAGCACGATGTAGGCATCGGAAAATAACACAAGAATTACACAAACGATAGTAGATGTTAAAGATCCCTGACATACTAACAAGATGTCTTTAACAGAGCAGAGCACTATGGAACAGTGATCAGTATACATCACAACAAAAAGTATATCAATAAAATTATACAGTCCATAGCTTGTCCCTGACATAAAACCAGACAGATGGCAAGAAGAAGAATAAACTGATGGACACCAACAATGATGGCACTTAGGGATGAGAAAGATGAAATAGGACTGTGGTATGTAGGATTCTGGAGAAAATCTATGGTGTAGCCTTTCTTGTGTACTGAGATGATAAAAATATTATATATAATTGACCTGGGAGTACTAAGCCTCTCCCTTCCCTCAACAAATAATAAAAATTAGAACCAAAGATGCCTATGCTTCTTCCTAGCTGTCAGTCCTAGTCTTTAAAGAGAAAGATACAGATCACAAGCCATTATAATTGGCAGAGCTGAAAAAACAGAAAAGTGGCAGGAAGAGCACCTTTTTGCTTTCCATGAAAGTTAACTCAGCCACCAACACAAAAGTAACACAGTATCAGGACTTCTTTATTGAGCTAGCAATGCTCAATATTATTCTAAGGAATAAAAGACATGGATCTCATCATCCTTTTAATGAAAAATAGTCAAGTGGTCTTGCTGCAATATTTGAGCTACCAGGCTTAGAAAATATTTGAAAGTAAAAAAAAAAAAAATGTGGTTATGTTGGAGACCAGTACCTGTGAACTTTAAAAATATGTAGAGAAGCAAGACTAAAGAAGAATAGCAAAAGAACCCTGTGTCAGATTATTTCTACACACTAGTAAAAGGCCTGTAAAACAGAAAATTCAGTTTTAGGAATCTGTCTTAAGAAGTTCTGATTATTTTAAGGGATCCATACAGTTGCTAGGTACTGCAACAGAACTCAGTGTTCACTGACAGGAAGATAAAAATTTTAGTAGCAAGTCTAAGAACCTCCTTGAGCCAAAAAGCTAAGAATGCAGAGCAGTAACTATCAGATGAAAAATCATGACAAATGACAACACTGGCAAACAGCTACTGCTATCAAATCTAAAATAAAGGGCCTAGCAACTTACCAATACCTATTCCCATCCCCCACATTATTAAGTACCCTAAAAAAAAAAAAAAAAAAAGGAAAATAAAACAGTCAGATAAAATAAGGAGGGTCATCATGTTCTGCTCATTTATGGTAAATGAAACAATACTGATTTCCATGCCCAGACATGCAGGACAAGCACAGATTCCACATAGAATGTGATATTTAGCAAATCACAGAGGAAGAAACTGTTTAAGAACAAGAGGTGGCCTTGTGATTGGAAAGTACTGAGAAACAGAAATGATGATCAGCTTGTTGTACCTAGTGAGTGCTTACTACTGTACATATCTCTTAATTGATTAGTCCATACTCATTTATGATTGTGGTTAATAAGATGCTTCATCTATTTTTTCCCTTCAAAGGGAAACTTGTTACAACTGTGCTGGATTTTTACGTATAACAGTAATATCTTACAACAATATTAATTTTGGAAGATCAAGGGAAGAAGTATACCACTCTCCATCCATTTAACTTTTTTTTTTTTTATCTTGAGAAAATAAGGCTAGATAACCACAGCAAGCTAAGACATAATACTATGCCTATAGCACCATTATTAAAAATACTTGTTTCCAACGTTTTCATATTGTCACTTTTTACTATTTTATTTGGTTAAAGAAGAGCAAACATCTTACCTGGATATCACTCAGCTTATTCAGGAATTGGGTTGTTAACTGAGGTCCATTCTCCATAGTTGGAATGTGCAAATGCTAACAATGAGTAAAGAAGGTTGGGGTGGGGCATTGGAGAAGATGGGAGATAAGATGGAGAGAGAAGAGAAAGAGAAAATAACATAATAATAGCTTTATATAAATATAAATCCCTTTGGGTCAACACGAATTTGAAGAAGTATTTATCAAGCTTCCTAGTCCTCCTTGAAAGTAGGTAAGGTTAATTGTAATGTTTTAATAGGAGAGCTTGCTCAGCCAGTGAAAAGTTAAATTAGTTGTACTGTTGTGCTGTTTTGAACAAAGGCCAATCTAAGCCTTCCAAGAGATCCATCCAAAACAGACAGTTAATTGTACAGGCAAGGTACAATTTCTTAACTAAGAAAACAAACAAACAAACAAACAAAAGATGAGAGGGAATGCCCTATTCTGACAACATACTAGTAACTCATTTGGCAAATAACATACTGCCACTTCATCTCTCTACAAGCCTCAGGCAGCACTCTTTTTCCACCTCATTTGTGGGTTTCTTTGTTGTTGGTTGTGGTTTTTGTTTTGTTTTGTTTTGCTTGATTGTTTTGTTTTTCTTTTGACTACAATTCATTATGAGAAAATTCTGGAGAGGCAAAAAAAAAAAATATCTTACCTTGCCCTTGTACAAAATTTTGGAGATAGGACATACAATACAAGCTGTTCCAGCACCAAACATCTCCTTCACTCTGTTCTCTTCCAAGGCAGCTGTCAGGTCACTCATGGTGATGTATCGCTCAGACACTTTAAATTCTCCCTGCACAAGAAGAATCAAACAGAAATTGTAAAAAGTTTAACAAATTATGGTGTTTGTTGTTGCTTGTTTTCCATGGTTGAAACATCTCTGATAGAACTATCTTGTATTTTTACTTAGCCCATTTGCAACCAACTAAGTTTTGGCTGTGATTTTGTGATCTTTTCCAACCTCATAGTATCACACGATAGACTCTAACAAAAAGGAAGCCGGTGATTTGCCAGGTAGAATGCTGATGACTAAATGGTACTTCCCTTTGATTTGGCACACAATGCCAAATATTGCATTAGGGAATAATACAGCAGAATTTGTCATGGGTTATGTGACACAGGATCTTAGTACTTATGGTCTCTAGAGTCCAGAAGTTTGTACAAAAATGACTCTTGTACAAGAACTTTCCATCCCACTCTCGGACAATTCCTAAGCAAAATACTTTTTATTAATTCCACCTGTAATGCCAGTTGGATGCAGTACTTTTCTGTAACACCTGGTGAAATTTTACATTGCAGTCTGCACGCAACTGTCACCTACAAAAATTAACTGTACTGCAGGTATGCATAAAGCAATTCACACTGGAAGCAGTCTTTAAAAAGGAGAAAAGTTTACCTTCTATAAGTGTTGAAGAACAAATAGCAACTGATTGAGGGGAAGCTTTTAAAGAGCAATAGTAAACATCGACCTTTGTAATATTCAAGTGATGGCTTTATGTAGACTTTATTGTCCTACCAGACCAAACTAAAGTTTAGCCCTTGTTTTATATGCAATCTTTTAAACATGGAACAGAGGTGCAAAAGAGAGCAAAGAAATATGATTAGCTCTGGAAAGGACAGCATTTCAAGAGAAAGGCAGGGACACCATGTAAGCAAGGTATCAGACAGGTTAGTAAATGGAGGACAGGAAGATGAGAACAATTTTTGGGAGAGTAGAAGACACATAATTATTCATGAACACTAAGGTGAGAGAGACTCTGACGTCTCACTGACAGGCCCTAGCAACCAGGAATACCTGTCTGTCTTGTAAAGGAGACAAGTCTGAGAGGTGCATGTGCGTATCTATACTAGTTTTAATCTAGATCACAGTAGTACTAGTATGAGTAAAGATGCATGAGAGTTCAATGTAGATCAACAAGTGACATATATACCCCACGAAGCACGTGCTTAGCTCTCTTCATTATGCTTAGCTCTATTCATTACATTCAACTACAAACTGTATTTCAGGAAGTTTTTCAACTACAGGCAGTTGGAAGCTTGGAGAATACCAAGGGGAAAGTATCACACATGCCTACTTTATTCTTGTTATTCCTCCCTGAACATAACCCTGGGCAAAATGAGGAGACAGGAAAATGGACTAAATGAACCTTTGGCTGTATGGTATTTTTACCCAAGGTGCAATAAAATACAGTATAGGCAGAGTGAAGAGTTCCCTGCATTTCAAGATATGAGCTAGTCCATTCAAGTGCCAGATAGGTACTTGGGATGGGTACATTACACAATTGGAATCTGTAAGCAGATAGATGACTAAGATTGTGGGTTAATTTTAGGCTTCATGCTAGCTATTAGGAGTAAGGGTGGAACCATGAGAAATAAGTGGAGAGACAGGCAGACAGCGCTGATAACTAAAATATACTTGTGGTCACACATGGTAATTGCTTCTATCCTTGCTTGATGTTGTTGGTACTGGTGGATTTAATGAGAATTTTCATATTAAATACTATATGGAGCTACTTTAACAAGCTCGGTATTGTTCTCTGTGACAGGTTTGGGTATTCTGATGGAGTTGCTAGGAATCTATGAATCAATATGCTTGTTAGTTCCCATTTAGGTTAATGGATTTGACTAGACCAGTTGAACTTCCAGATACTGAACAGCAGAAATACATATTTTTGTAGGTATTATAACATGATGTTTGAAACCATTACTGGAAAGGTCAAAGCACTCACCCAGTTGCGTGCCAGATCCAAAATGCTCTGTCTTGTCACTCCTGGAAGGATGATGCCATCTAAAGGTGGGGTTGCCAGTTCATTTTCTGTCAAATACAAGAGAAATTAAACAAAACAATCAAAAAACACCAAAAATGAAAAACTTGTTCAATGTTATCAGAAATGTTCTCTACCCTGTAAGATGCAACATTTTTCAGAGTTTTGTGAACACAGACTGCTCAAATTTAACTCCAACACGTTACTGTTGAGTGTTTGAAACCTTTTGACTACACATGAGTGGACAGGGAAGAAATACATTTAATACATGAATAAATACATGGTAAAGGCTAGTAGTAAGATTTATTCCTCAGCATTATTCCATAATAATGGATTCACTGAATAGTTATTGGGAACCACTGAACAGCTGTCTTTAAATTCAGGCTAGAGAGACACAAGGGAAAGCCATGCCTAATAATGCCAGGGCAGATCATGACTCTCCCTGAACCACTTTAACTTATTTAGGAATATGGTGTTCAGTATTCCAAATGCTACAATGAAACATTTCCCAGGAATTTTGAAGCTCGTTTACTGAATTAGCAAAGCAGTAAAAATCTTGCCAAATTCATTTTGAAAAGAGACCTCCTTAATGATCTTTCCACTTAGATAAAAAAATAAATGTTCATCCAACACTAACTAATGAAACAGTAATACATGGTGATTCATACTTGGTAAATACTTAAATTTACAGTCAGTGGGTCTTTCAGGAATACTCTTCTTTTCTTTTTTCTTTTTTTTTTTTTTTTTCTAACCATTTTCTTTTCCCATTGAGGATCCCCTATCTTTGTTGAACATACATAGATATTATCCAGATCACTAAATCCACAAACCATAATGTTTTTTTGTCACCTAGGTAAGAACAAATCAAAGAACAAGATATGCATCTTTATGCTGTCATTATGCCCCTTTACCCTTCATGGCAAGCAATCACTGAATCTAGGCCTGTTGGAACCAGTCTTGAAGAAGGAGCAGCCATAAAAAATCTCTAAAGGTCCTACACAAATTTGCAGCTGGATAGAAGACAGAAACATGCTATTCATCCTTGCATTGAGAGAGACCAATCCGAACTTAGCAGCTGAACACCCTGTTTTCAGCAGTCAGATAATGTGTGCACAAACACTGCCTGGCAGCTAGTGCATACACAACTCCAGGCTGACTACAGCATGCTCTCTCTCCTCCTCAGGACTTTGGGAGCTGGTGTGGAATAGAAGAACAAAGGATAATAAATGGAATTGTTCATTGAATCTGCTACTCATTGTCCATTCTCTTGGGAAACGTCTGTTACTTTTTTAATGCAACCAGCTCTAGATTTATTTAATTTAATAAATAGATTTTTTTTCCTACTTATTCTTCCACATTCCTTTTATGAGGATCCACATGCACATATGTTATCGACATAAACTATCATCTCAAAACATGTAATGAGCTGCCCTAGAATAGGCTATATACATTCTGCTCTGGTTTGACTCACCAGTAGTACCATTCCCTAACCTATCCCAGATTCCTAAGTACAGCAGTGGTCTCTACTTTCTTGTGTAGTCAAGAACAATACAAAGTTCTTCACTCCTAATCACGATGCTCATCACATCCTAATTTTGGCACAGCTACCAAAAGAAGAGGACTTGAAAACTTTCCATGAGCCACAGACCTCCATTCTGAACAGTAGGAAGCTGATAGTGCATTTTCAACCTCACCTGCTATGGACTCTGCAGACACAGTCATATACAAGTCTTTCTCTAGCAGAAAGCTTCAAATAACATGGACCTTAATACCAAAGTTTGTGACTACATACCTTATAACATTCTCTTTCTGGGGCTTTTGCTACAAATCTTGTCCAGAACCCATTTAAGTTCAACATAGCATATTAATTGATTTGAGCTATTTTGAAAAGATGCCAGGTCAGACCATCCCCCAACCAGCACTGAGCAGACAGGACATGGGAGTCTCATAATGTTTCAAACAACCTGTTCTGTATAATTTTGTCAAGTATACATATGATACCTACCAGCCTAGGGCCACCTAAAGAACATTTGCTTCCCCGGATATTTGGCAGAGCTGATAATACTATACAATAAGGCATTCCAAAATGTTTGTTCTCTGTGAATTGATGCCAAAGCAGGCTCCATGTGACATCAGATTGTCCATCTCCAGGTATGCAGGCTGTGAGCTCAGGCTCAGTTTGCCTTCTGAGTTATTCTGGTGGGCTAGGAACCTTAAAATTTATAGCAGCTATAAAATGGAAAAACATAATTTGAAGGAAAATGTTGGGGTTTCTCTTCTTTTGAATACTGTTATTACTTGTTATAATAGTAGCACTTTAAGTCCAGTGACCCATTGCACCAGACATGGTATAGGCATGCCATAACAATGGAACTCCCACAGGGAGTTTAAAGGTATTTTTAAAATGAAGTCGTGCATTTTACATAACTTCAATTTTAATACACCTGCATTTATGAACATACAGGAAATAATATTCCAAACATGGGATGCCTTCAGTACTAGTCAGACAACAACAATGCAGAGAAATTTACCAAAATTATCATTTACCAAATGATTTACCAATATAAAGGGAACTTCAGAGTCAATGATAACCCAGTGAACCCTGATTTCATGGATGTGAATGGCTGACTTTTGCTCCAAGTTTGTTCTGGACCTTTCTATTTCTTTCTTCTCCTTATTTCCCTCAGGCTTTTCTTCTACTCTCGCCTCATGCAATCATTCTACCTTTTCATCTCTGCTGATTTCCTTTCCTCAATTACTTCTCTCTTTCTCTTTGTCTGCTGTGTCATTCATGCTGCTCTTCCCTCCATGCTTTTGCTATGAACTCCTATTAGAACAGAAGGTACAATAATTACTCTGTTAGAAGTCTACTTGCTCCCACAGCAGAAATAATTCTCCACTTACAGAACAGTAATCAAGCTTGCATGTTATTTTACCTGAGTGTTCCAGTAAGTCCTTTAAAATATTTAACCCTATGTATGGTGTTTTGAAGTGGGTATTATTAATTCCCATTTTCTTAAGAAACTGAATTTTTGGCAAATGTGTACAGATTTCATAGTTAGCAACCTTCAGGTTGGACATTACATTTAAATTTCAAGGTTTTCCAGAAAGTGAAGCTTATGTTCTAGGAAGAAGAAAAAAGATTATTCAAGGAAATAAGAGCTTTAGTGTTAACAGCCTCTTGGGAATATTATGTACTCTGAAGAGGCACGTGGACAGTTCAGCAGGGTGACCAAAATTTTCATTTTGTGAACATAAAACTATAAATAGTTTTGGACAAATGGAATATCACGCTCCCTTATTTATGCAACAGTGGTGATCCAGATTTGGTCATATCACAAGCCTCAACCAGAGGAACAGGGGGAACACAAAAGTAGCATAGAGGATGTCATATTATTTTACAAAAAATTACTTAATTTCCTACAGTTTCCTCCACAATGTTACAAATGAGACATTTTTCCAGGCTCCCTCACTACCCAAGACAATGTGTCATATTTAGTAACAATGTTGTAATTGAGAATATATAGCAAAGGCTTACAAAAAACGCCTGCTGTCATTGGAAGCATGGATGTTCTTTAGAGTGGGCTTTACTGAGCTGGGTCCTTGGTTTGTTACACACCATGTAGAACACATTCAGACTATCCTGCAGTGACCTCTTAACACACAAACAGGGGCATTTTCCTTTTGATGATGATTTGCAATTTTTGCCTCACTTTTTTTTTTTTTTTTTTTTTTTTTTTTTTTTGTGTTAGATCACTCTCTCTCTCAGCTGCAGAATTTGCATAACAAAACAAAAATACAGCCTAAGTATCTGTTGTGAAGTGAGAGAAAATAATAGCAGACACTTAAAATCACTATGTAAAGCTATAAGGCAGGTATAGGATGGCTCATATTGGCAGCAAGAGTCATTTTCAACTAAAGATATCATAAATTAAGCATTAATCAACACACTAGAAGACAGAAAAGTGCTCCAATGATGCTAATGACCACGTTGTGTGAAATGGCAGGTTTGCCAGTACACAGTTAGCCTGGGTGGCATGAATTACAAGTTGTTTGCTACGGCCACCTCACAATGGTACTATTCAGCGGTGCACTGGTAATACAGTGATTGGCAGATCTTTGGAACAGTACGGTGCTGCAGCTGGATAATTCCAGCATATTCCTGGTTTAAGTACAATGAGAACATTGAATTCTAATTATGTCCCCCCTTCACTGTCCCTTCCCTGGACAAAATGAGCCAAAATCTATTTTCATGTCTCTCTAGTGAAGTTACAAAAGGCGTGAATTCAGCTATCTAACTACACTGACAAGTCCACTGCTGTTATAATGAGATTGCTCATATTTACAGTTTCATCCACAAGACTTCACAGACTCATTCAACAATGAGAAAACATCATTTCAGTCCTTCAGAAATGGTAAAGATTTTGCAGAAAAACAAGTAATGAAACTGGAGATGGGAATCAAGTAGCTGGATTCCCATTACACTACATTATCCAAAGCTGTCTCTATACTGCAGGTGAGCACTGTCAGAAAAATGTCAGTTTTCAAGGATACCTACAGCACTATGACGAAATCAGAGTCTAAACCTGCATATGCTGCCATGCAAAAATTCAGTGACAATTTTCATGGAGGACCAGCACTCATGAAAATCAAGAGGTGTCCTTCCATTCACCACCATATATGCTGGCTCGTTCTTCTAAGGACTCAAACTTATGTGGTCTTCTAAGCCAGTAGTCAGGTGCAACTATTTGTTCTTAAGCACTGAATACTTGCATGCCCAGTGGGTGTTTCCAAGATGTCTAAATAGATGTCTGCTTATTAACTAGATAGTTTTCGAAGCAACATGTACATTACTCAGAGGTGTAGATGCAAAAAGTTAAAAACTGTTTTAAGAATAGCATATCTTGAAAGTATCATTTGAACACCAGTGACATAGAATGCTGACTGACACATTTCTGTCTGCCTCCATTGGACATTCAAATTCTTCAAAGAAAGAGCTAAGTGCTTTATCAGCTAGATGCTGAAGCACTTTTGGCCATGCTTCTGAAACATGTGACTTGCTGGAAAGTGATGATGGGAAAAACCCATGTGGTTTTAGTATGTGTGCATTGTTTCTGACACATCTCCAGGATAAAGAACACAGCTAAAACTGACAGCAAATCTGCTATGCTACCCATACGTGACTAGACTCTGTCCTTCTGAGCATGTGGAAGGTTCCGCTGTTTAAGTATGTTGTTAGGCATTGCTCATGGCTGCTCTGGAATCTCCTCTTTCATAACGGTAGGACTCACCTATCAGTTCTCAGAAGGGAATAGACATTCCCTTTGTTAAGTCATTTCATTAAAAAGTTTATGATTGGCACTCTAACAATCATTTTGTGGATTATAGAAGGAGGTCACTATCCCACTAAGATGATGAAGTGGATGATGGCTGGCATTTTGGGGGGTCCAAATAGCTTCTAGAAGACTTGTACATAGAATATGAATACCTGCCTTATGATCCCAACTGCCTACTCTCATAGTTTTCATGTTGTGTGTCACTATACCTCCATCTTCATTTATCCAGTATAGAAACAGATTCATTGTTCCAACTTCGGTTATTTGGTGATCTTCTCCATAGAGCCACAGAACCTGCTGGCAGCCTAACTCCAGGGCTTCTTGCTGGGCATAAATAGAAGAACCATAATTCCTTTCAGAAACAAAAAAGAAAGAGCAAACATATGAGTATCTCACTGGGTATTTTCTTATTTCTGTGCAAGGTTCAGTGCCCATGTCCTTTATTGCAAAGGGCTCATTTTCCATTAGAAGTACTTCACTGTTTATTTGTTTGTTTGTTTGTTTTTTACTAGATCATTTTGTATCTACAGCCCTCAAATTTTGAAGGGCTAAGTAGCATCAACAGCTCAAACATATCCATCCAAATTTTCTCAGAATTAATTCTTGTTTCATTTTCTGGATATTCTAATCACTGCAATTAGACACCTTAGTAAAGAATTCATCTTTATTTAGCAGTTGGAATCCTGGACAGATGCAATAATTCTCACCCAGAGCATGGTTTAAAAAAGGCAAAACCAAAACTATCCACCTAATCTTATATATGTCAAGTGAACAGATGAGTAGTTAGACCTCTTGGAATACAGAACCTTCAGAGGTAAGTTATTTCTTTTCTAGTAAAAAACTTTCACAGAACTAGTTTAACAAGAACTAGTTTACAAGTTCTTGTTAATAGTTTACATTCACAGAACTAGTTTAACATGAGCAAGTGTAGAGTCCTGCACCTGGGAATGAACAACGACATGTATCAGTACAGACTGGGCGATGACCTACTGGAGAGGAGCTCTGCAGAGAAAGACTTAGGGGTCCTGGTGGATGACAGGTTGACCATGAGCCAGCAGTGGGCTCTGGTGGCCAAGAAGGCCAATGGGATCCTATCGTGCATTAAAAGGAGTGTGGCCAGCAGGTCAAGAGAGGTGATCCTCCCCCTCTACTCTGCCCTGGTCAGGTCTCACCTGGAGTACTGTGTCCAGTTATGGGCTCCCCAGTACAAAAAAAAAGACAGGAATCTCCTGGAAAGAGTCCAGTGGATGGACACAAAGATGATACGGGACCTAGTGCATCTTCCCTATGAGGAAAGACTGAGAGACCTGGGTCTGTTCAGCCTTGAGAAAAGAAGACTGAGAGGGGATCTTATTAATGTTTACAAATATCTTAAGTGTGGGAGACAGAAGGATATGGTCAATCTCTTTCCATTGGGGACAGGACAGGGGGCAATGGTCAAAAAATGGATCATGGAGAGTTCTACACCAACATGTGAAAGAACTTCTTCATGGTGAGGGTGACGGAGCACTGGAACAGGCTGCCCCGGGAGGTTGTACAGTCTCCTGCTCTGGAGATATTCAAGGCCCATCTGGACACCTACCTGGGCAACCTCCTCTAGGGAACCTGCTTTGGCAGGAGGGTTGGACCTGATGGTCTCTGGAGGTGCCTTCCAAACCCTACAGTTCTGTGATTCTGTGAACTTATTTTTTTTTAGTAGCTCTAGGAGCCACAGATTAGCCTTGATGAATTTCATGTCCTTGAGGGGCAAGTGTTTTCCAAAAATGCTGCCTACAGGATGAACTTAACTACATAATTTATGTTCACCCTGTAGCTGCTCTGGGAGGAAAACAAAACAAAACAACCAGAACAACAACAAAAATGCTTTAAAAATAAATAAATAAATAAATAAATAAAAACCCTTTCACTTCTCATGTTCAATAACCATCAAACACCCAAGTCAGCAGGTCCAAAGTGCGGACTGCACTGGAATTCAGATCTCAGCTCTGGGCCACAATTGTAAATCAAATCAACAGTGACTCCAGAGTATTCTCTTTTTAACAGGAAATTAAAGAATGCAGAGGAAACAAAATATTTTTCAAACTCAACAAAAAGCAACAAGTAGGAGATCAAAATCTCAGAGCATCAGACCAAAGGTAGAAAAGCTCTTTTCTTGCCAATTGATTATTCTAGTAGCTCAGCTGAGCAGCACTTGACAGCTACTAACTTCCTGCCTAGAAAAGAAACTCTCAGGTAAATACAAAAAGCCTTGCTTAAACCAAAGACCACTTTTGCACAATTAAATAATTTATTTAGCCACATCCCAGTTGCTTGCTCCAGTCAAGTCCTAAGCAGCTTAATTCTGACAACTCAAGTATGTGAACATAAATAATTATGTTTCTACTTAAGTGGCACTTTGGCCTAGTTCAGCAGAAAACTGCCAGACCACGGACACATATACACAGCTAATTGCCTCATGCTTTTCCAGAAACACCCATACTTCCCTAGCTAACTGCAGATGGCTTGTCAGGACAGTCTGCCAAGGATGAAGGTCAGCAGTCAGTGCTGCTCACTGCCCGGTTGGCAGTGGACCACTATACTGAAAGCTGCATCACAGAAGTGATATCTTCAGTGTCAACTTCTGCAAGGGAAATGAGCCAAAGTACTACATGGACACCTTCCAGGTCCAGTTCCTCAGCCTGAGAGGCTGTAAAAATTGTCTCTCCCTGTAGCCCACTTGACTGTAGTATCTAAACAAAAATACACAACTGAATTGTATAGGTAATATTCATAAAAGACTGCTTTGAAGTCTTTGTCATAGTATATTGTTTGCTTAACTGCTACATCCAATACCTCTACTTCTGCTAGATTAGACACTTCACTAAAAAACGCATCTCCTTTGTGAAGTATGTGGAGATAGATTCCATACAAATGCAGAATCAGGTTTTCTTACCCTCCCAGTTTGCAGTCCCCTGTTCCTCCTTTCCAGGCTCTTACATATTTGGGATCTGCCCATAATGATATTGGACTAAAGCTTCCACTTGCAAAGTAAGGGCCCACAGGGCTCAGTATGACATACAGTAGGGCTTTAGTTGGCTTCTTCACTCCAAGAGAAGGCTGAAAATAAGGAATGTAAACAAGTAAAGTTACAGGTTTACTTCACTCCGAACATCAAATGCACAATTAGCTTCTGAAACACTGTGTACAGAGAAACTGTAGCAGTGGAGTGCTTTTACCTAAAAATGCGAAGTTCTGCAATGAAGAGGAAATACTTATATAACTTCCTCCCCCATCCTAAGCAACATGACAACACTAGTTTTATGTACAGTCACCACTCATTTACAGCTCTTTTATTTGTCTAAATATTATTTTTATCTTCTCACATAATCTCAAGCTTTTGAGAATTCAGAAACTACCTCAAGAAAACACTATATAATTATATGAATTAATTAGAGCAGTAGCCTGCAAAACCTTCTGGGGAGGCAAGGACCACCATGAGCAATATCAATGGTGGAAAAACCACTGTCAGCTGTATTTGTGATGAGTATTAGCCAATGACAATTAGAACTGTCATTGGTAGAGTCAGGTGCTGGCTCTGTGACAATCTCAAATGATTTGTCTACTGGAAATGATTCACACAGCAGGACAGAAAATAACATGGAATGTATTACTTTTTCCCCTACAGATGGCTTCTCATGCTTCAAGTCATCACTTTCAACACCTGAAGACAGAGGTGAAAAGTCTGATACTGGTCAAGGTCTGAATTCTGCAGCTGAAGACTCTGCTTATATATATGATACTTTGCAAAGCTTTAGAGTGATCACAAAACAGTTGAGGTTGGAAGGGACCTCTGGAGACTCTGGACCATATGCAGTTCTTGGGATCTTACAGGCAGCTGTTTGGGCTACTATTTCCTCTCCACTCACAGGAACTAGTCCCCTAAAAAGAACAAGCTCATCCTTGGGTTCTAATGTTAAGTCTCCACAACTACTAGTAGTAGTTATTGAACTAAATTCTTCTAAAGAAGAAGACTTGGACTAAAGTTTTAAGCAAAATACTGTGCACAAAGCACATGAAGCTAGACTGGGAAGTACGGGGGGAAATGAAAAGGTAAACATGGAACTACTGGAAACTTCACAAGAGTCTTCCTCAGGTGCAAAGAGGATGCTTTTGATTTCTGTCCACCTTACTCTTTCAGCAAAACTTTTAACAAAATAAACATTAAATAATTTAGGTCTTGGTATTTTTCATCATTCTTACACAATTATTCAAAATATAATGGTGAGTGGGTTTTCAAACTGGGCTGATTCAAAAAAGGTCAACAGGACTTGCAACTCAGGGACAACACATGATATTGTGGAATGGCCAGATATGTTGTGTACCTTGAAACAAATCTCAACAGAATTTCCAAAAAATGAATGAGAAAAAACTCTTAATATTAACACTTTATGGTTGCTGAGTGGTGATCCTTCCATCCCCAAAATCTGCAACTAGTTTACAGACTTTAAGTTAATGAAGTCCTAAAACATGTGTGTATGGTGCTCACATATGCTAGCTACATGAGGATATGAATATTGCAGAAAAGTGACTTGTCTAGTTGGGAACCACAAGTTCTTTAGTTTCTTTGTACTATGATCTACCACTCTAGCTTTCTCTCTTGCTGCTGCTAAAAAAAAAAAAAAAAAAAAAAGTTAAAAAGTTTTAATTAAAATACACTTCCTGCTTCCAACTTCTGTACTCTCACATATTCCCCTGATTGTTAATATTTTAAAGGCATACATTACCATATAAAAGGCATTTATACTCAAAATACAAAAACAAATAGAATTTAGGTTTTACTGTAATTGCTTAGAACAGATGATTCACTTTACTTTCTGTGATCTGACTCAGTATATCCACTAGATGGTGGTGTGGTCAACATAAATTTGTGAAGTAGAGCTACAGGTGACTAACACAGAGGTAAAGAACATAAAAACAAGTTGTCCCTGAAATGTAATACCGTTGCCTACCAATGGATGCATATTTGCCTTTATGGATGAAGGATTTTGCTTTGTGCTTAAATACATAAAAATTAGGAATGAAAAAGAAAGTTTAAAACCTCAGTTCCAATTAAGGTAGGACGGATATACAGGCTGGCAGCAGTTGAGTATGGGACCCACTCCTTTTCTACTTCCACAAGTTTCCGGATGCACTCCAACAGCTCGTTCTGGTCAAAACTCTGGGAAGGAAAAACAAAGGGAGAAAAGAAAACAGAGAAATATAACCTGAACAACCTGTAGTCCTTATAGATCCATATGTTAAGGGGAACATTTCCTCAGCCCATTGGGTTTCATAGGACTTCCTTGAATTCATTTCTTAAAGATTCCATTTAAGATCCCACAGTCTTTGCCTCTGTGCCTTCTTATTTGTTATCCCAAATGCCCTCCTGCTGCTACAAAGCATCCTCCTGAGTTAGGAAAAAGGAGCTATTGACCTTTCTTGCCTTCAAAGCACATGGAAAGAACTCCCTGTGCAGCCAACCCTCTCACTTCCAAGGGCATGCTGTGAGCTTCGGCAACATCTCTTCTGCAGAAGAGATTTGGATTAGAGATCCAAAGGGTGCACCAAGTCTCCCATTTTTACTGCAAAGCTAATAAGCATGGGAGGAAATTCATTGGCCAACATACAACTGCTTAAAAGCAGCATGAATTTCTAGCAAAACCAAAAGTGAAGGTACTCAGAGGTCAAAGGATTTAACTGAGGTAAAAAGCAAGAACACTAGCAACAGAGTAATTTAATCAGCTGTCTGCATGCAAACAGAAGTTGTCCGCATGCCTACAGAGCAGTGCTCATCTCTCAGAAATAGATTGTGCACACCTGAGGCAGTAGGGACACAATGCAGAAAGGAAAACACTGCTTTGGTTTAACAGAAAAAATAACCCCTAACCATTCACAGAACAGGATCTCTTAGAGTTTAACAGAACGATTCAAGAGTTAGCATACTTGATAAATGTTACATTACCATAATGTTTCAGAGATTTGCACTCTGAAAATAAAAATACACTCTGACTTAAGGAGAGTAAGATGTCTTGGCTACGTACTGGCAGAGTTGTTCGTCTTGCTGATCGTGCCATCCTGTCCATGTTGAGGCTTGGCCGGAACAGGCGGATTTTGCCATCTACTCCTCGGTAAGCCTTCATTCCTTCAAACAACTACCAAGCCAAAAAGGAAGAAAAAGAAGTTGGATGTTACTTGAGGCATGCTATCCCATGATGATCTGTGCAAAAGTAGAACATGCCTTTTGGAAATGAAATAACTTCACTTTCCTGCTCACAATACTCAAAGCATAAATGCTAACTAATTAATCCTTGCAAAACACTCCTGTGAGGTATAGTATTACAAAGTTTATATTACAAAGATGACTTGTCTGTGCTTCTGATACATCTTTCTCTGTCAGGGAACTTACTGATAAACGTTCTTCTCATAATTTGGTTACAACAATTAAAATTTGTAGCATGTGTTTGACTTAACTACTCCCTTACATTATGACTGATATTTAAGGCTTAGCCAAAACAGTACTCTCCCTTATGAAAAAGACACATTGAATTCAATGATATATTCTAATCTTTATAAGGGCTCTGTCCAAAACAGATTTTGGAAAGAAGAGTTTGATAAAGTAATTAAGGGAAGTCTGTTGCAGTTCATGCTGTAGTCATAGCAAAATCTTGGTCACTCATGTCTCCCATCTGCTCCTATACTGTAGAAGGGGGGTTAGTTAGCATGTGAGACAGGTGCATCAGCTTCATACTAGAGGAATAACGTATGCAAATGTTCTATCTACTTAAATTTGTCAGAATTGTCCCATCAAACTGCAAAACATGAATGACTGATGCTGACAATAAATTTACCAGAAACTCTTATCCCACCCTGCCCTCTCAGCGGAATACTCTACACGGTCCTCTAACTACAGCAAAAATAAAAAATAATAAAAAAAACTTATGCCCACAAAACATCCATAGTTATTTGCAGTTACAGTTTGATAATTTCCAGTTTCAGTTATAGGTAGATAATACATGTATTACATAAACATATTAATATATACATGTACATATGTTAAATTATTGTTTAGATTAAGTATTAAATGTTCATTCATGCTTACTTTGTTCCAATTTTTATAAATTATTTTCTGAAGCATTTCTTTGTACTTTAAGTTTTACTTGAAGTTCCATGACTGTAACTGCATCACTTTTATCAGTGTCCTCAGACTTCTTCCTAACGCCTTCCCAAAAAATGCCTGCAAATTCATTCTAAATGGTTGAAGGCTATATATGCAATTTTTTGATTACGGAAAAAGATTCTTACATTTGTGTGTAAGTAATTTTAATATAATACTCGAGGCTTCATTATTATTACATTCTACAATATTTTCCCATAAGGATCAGTGAAATGTAATGTTTAGAAAGCTTTTGTACAGTCCAGACAGAGTTAGGTCTTTCCACATGACAAATTTTAATTGTGTTGAAACTGGGTTGCAGGAATCCTGGCAGTTTTCCTTAGGCCACACACAAATTATGCAGGAGAACCAGAATTAGAACCCAGAACTTTTTAATTTCAAAATATAACTTATTCCTATGGCAATACAAACTTTACTAAAAGTTTTGTGCACAGATAGTAAAACAAAACCAACAAAACAAAACAAACAAACTGTTCCTAAGATAGACATTGTAACTACAAGGAAAAGGAAAAAAAAAAAAAAAAACACTAATGGCATAGCTGGTGTAATGGTTGATACTTTTATATGATTTTTATTGAATCAGTTTCTAATACCACATTTCTGTAATGCTACAAGTTCTTATCACAGAACAGTTTTCCCCCCCCCGCCCTTCTTCCAAAGACATTCACCGAACTTTTAATGAGAGGGAAAAGGAAGGAATGTTACTACTAAGATTTGATCAATGGTTTGAGAGAAAAAAGAATCACATCATTACTGAAACACAAAGCGTTCTCAAGCTGTTAAATCTTTTGTTCCAAAATACTTTTAACCTTCAAGAGCTCAGCAAAACCTCTCACTTATTAAAAAGGGAGATAGTGATGTGTTCCAGAAATGCCCATCTTGAATGACAGCAACTGCACCATAGGTTGCTTGATGGTTGGTTACTACAGTGGTGTGCAAACAATATTATCTGATATCTGTACATCACAGGAACTGGATCTGGAGTTCAACAGATCCAGACAATCACACTGCATCATGAAGGGCAAGGAGAAAGGGGAGGGAATGCCAAATTCATCATTTTTTTTTTTATACCCACTGTGTATTCATTGAGCCACAGCATTGGCACCAGATTCTCCTCTGTCTGTCCTCTTGGCTAGAGGAAACGTGATGCAGTAAGGGTAAAAGAATAAAAAAAAAAAATGGAAAAAAAATAAGAGCATATTCATATTAGCAATGACTTCAAACTGGGCCAGAGGCCAAGCATTAAAGCAATATGCTACTAAGAGTGAAATATAGATTTGGGACTCCAGCGTGGTTTCTTACTCCTTGGGCAGATCAAGAGCTGCAGCATTAGTCACAGGGGCCTGTTGTAATTTACACAGGAACTTTGGGAACTAGGTGGGAAAAAACAGCAAGCACAAAAAAAAAAATGGTGAAGGGAGGAGCACAGGGACAACAAGCAGGGAAAAGCTCAAACCTTTCCTTTTACTAGCAGATTAAAAAAAAAAGGAAAGAAAAAAAGAAAGAAAAAAAGAATAATAAAAGAAGCACGAGAAACTCCACTAACTTCAGTGGAGAGACTCCCAGACTCCCACCTACACAGAGATGGGAGGAGAAGCAGGTTTCCATTTCTCCTGTATGCTCCCAGGTAGCTCAGTGCACCCTACCAAAGCTCTCACACAGATGTGAGTAGTGCTGAAACTGCCCTGGAGGTGCAAAAGGCAGCTTTAGATGGTAAGTACCTAAGCACGGAAACTATTAACCACGCTGGTTTCCGACTTAACATTTCACTTTCCAAAGATCCTTGCCGAGTATTCTCTGCGTCAATACACTTCTATATGCCATATGTCTCAGAACTTGTTTAGAGTTCTCTAGACCAGTTTGGATGTGCAAAAAACCATCTGTCTAGTCTATCCTGCAATCCAAGCTATGAGCCTTTAAAACAGCTTAAAATTTCACAAAGTGTGTGTTCAGTCCTCAAATTAAAGTTACGCTTGGAATCTCACACAGTTGTATCCAGGGCTTCATTAAGTCACATCAATGACAGCAATTGCACTGATCCCGTCAGTGACCTAGAATGAATTTCTCACATGAATTTGTCACCATACAGGAAAGAGTTCACCTTCATTAGGCTAAGAAGTTAAGTGGGCTGGAATCCACTGACCACAGCTGGTTCTGAATTATACAAACATAAGCACACCCCTGGCTATAAATAGGAAATTATTCTGAAAGGGCATCAGTTATCAGATCAAAATGTAACTCAACACTAAGGCAGTAATAGTTCACGTATTAGAAAGCTACAGTTTCAGAAACTAAAAAAAAAAAAAAAAAAAAAAAAAAAGTGGTTTCCAACGGGATTTGGGTACTCACTTCTATAGCATAATGCAAAGATGAAGAGGCTGGATGCAATGAGAGGTTCTCAAGTGGTTTAATAAAAGGTTTCTCCCATCCTGATGCCAAAGACCATTCAATCGTCAGCATATTATCAGTGAAGACAGTTCCAAATACCAGACCATTGGGGTCTGGTTTTTCCTTGAAAGTCGTAGCTGGAATGATAACCAAGTCTGAAGCCTGAAAAAAACATGAAACCCAAAAGTAAATAAAGTAATTAAACCAGACTGATTGAAAAATACTCCTCCATCAGTGAACATGGAAAAATACAATATTTTATCTGCAGGGGTAATTATGGACAGAATTGCTAATTGTGGCTACCTCTAAGTAGTTGCCAGAGCATTCATATGTACGCACCCATACCCACAGTGTTGCTTAGATCAGTTGTTCACATATTTTGAAGCACTTTTAAGTGAAGAAAACAATACAAGGTAGGAAAAAAAAAAAAAAAAAACACAAATACACAAATAGAAAATTATCAGATGAAAATTTCTTGGACAATTAGATTAACACGTCTATATAAGTTCCAGAAACTGCCAGATTCTGTATCTCAGAACTTAAGCTGATCATCAGAACCTCACAACTAAGTATGTTGCACTGATTTGCCTTTAACGCATAAAACCAGAGTGATGGACCTGAGTCAGCAGGTTACTTGGGTAGCACCAGCTTGTTCATTCACATTTGTGTTTTCCTAGAAAGATCCTATTAGCACAAAGAAGGCTAAATGTTTCCCTGCATGATTAACAGTAAAGTAGAGACTTTCCCTTATGAGCCATGACTAGCTGCAGAAACACAACATAGTTTTTTGTATTGGTTTTGGTTAGGAGAGAGTGAGTGTTTTTCATAGTAGCTTAAATAGTGTTAATCGTTGTAAAGAACAGCAGAGGAAGGAGGAAAGCAGGATCTCTGGCATGTCACTTCCCTTTATAGATAGACAGGGGCAAAACAACATGAGAAAGCTATAAGTCTTGATCCACTTCACACAGAATCACAGAATCACAGAATTTCTAGGTTGGAAGAGACCTCAAGATCATCGAGTCCAACCTGTAACCTAACACTAACAGTCCCCACTAAACCATATCCCTAAGCTACTTCTCTCATTCTCTTTCTACAGTTTCTGAGCATTTAAGCTGTGCTGGTCAGAGAGTGAAGGAAGAACTCAAAAATCCCATTCGAAGCTCCGTTTTCTTTCCTAACATGACTCAGAAAGCATCAACTGCAGTACTTCAGATTCTTTTCAAATTACTTGTCTGGACACTAAAAAGGAGGGTACCACTAAAAGGATGATGTCACTAAAAAGGAGATACCACTAACTTGTGCTTTTCAGACCCTGCATATATTTTACAAAATGAGAAACAACTAGTCCCAAGCTTTTGAAACAACACACAGGCACCATCTCTGTCAACAACCTGATTTTCAAGATGTCTTTAATAACAGTGGTCTGTTTCTTATCGGTATTTTTTGTTGTTGTTTTCCCTAATGGCTTAGATGTGAAATTAACTTAGAGCACACAATTACATCCTTGCCTTTATCTCAGGGCAGAAATGCTTGAATCATGGTCTCTAAAGAATTCCTACTGCCAGTGGTATTAACAGCACTCCCTGAACTCAAAGCTCCAGTCTTATTTTGGGTCACTTTTGTTAAGGTAATTATTGTGACACTGAATGGACCTGGGGACAAGAATATGTCCCCATATTCAGTCTTGTCCCCCTATAAATCCCACCAATGTGCTGATTTCTGCCTGTATGCCACATATTGCCCCTTCCTCAGTTTTAGCAGCACAAGTAACACAGCTCCATAATACAATTTGGTAAGCTTAACTGTACTAACAAATAGCCTTTACTTTAAGGATGATGAAGGATTTTAATGTGGTCCTTCTGATGGGCCCACAAGCATGTATAGAGGGTGTAGCAAGCTGCAGCCATAAGCAAAGAAATGATCCTATGGGAGTGTTTGGATTTATTTAACCAAATATGTCATCTTGCTGTAAGAGATATTCCTCCAGATTTGGAGACATGAGGTTCAAAAGATCCTTGGAAAGAGTCTCTATGAGTGATAATTTAATAAAATTATGTCACTCAAATATGAACATAATGCTGTGTCCTGACAGCTAGTACAAAGAGGAACCCAGAGCCAGAGTCACTCCTGTTCTGCCTCAGAGACAAGAGTTGGACAAAGAATTTGCTCCTGCAAGCTCAGTAAAACAGGTACTGTTGTGTGACAGGCAGTCCAACAGCAGTGCCTATGGCTCAAAGCAATAGTCCAGGCTGCTTGGCTCTCAGCCCCAAGGACTGGGGACCTTCTGCAGTCACAAACAGAAATCACTAGATTAGATTTTGGATTGAGTCACATGAAGGCAGAAAGCCTAGAGAGGTAGCTATGACACTTGTCCTGAAAGGAAGCAAGTGCTTCCAGACCACAGAGCTTCCTGGGGCTGCACGCTGTGGACAAGGAGCCTACCTGCTGTTTCTCACCTCTTTCAGCAACAGGAAATCCTGTTTTTCACCTTTCCTTCAGGCATTTTGCAAACACCTGACCCAACATCAGGTAGGACACCTGACTTGCCCTTCAACCAGTGGTAGGAACATCCTTCAAAGGGGCTCAAAAATAAGCTTAAGTGCAGAGTAATAGGGCAGCAATCATCGAACAGGCAAGAAGGCAATCTTCCTGGTCCTCATAATGCTGACAAATTCTGTTAAACTCTCAAGAGAGATTTAAATTTTATTTTATTTTTTGGCAATTACTATTCACTATTTTTTTGTTTTTAAGGATCTTCCCCCTTTATTCATTCTATTGTATTTCTCTCTTTCTCTGTTTTTTACTAAGCAAAACCCTAATGCTTTTTATGTCAAGACACCATCAAGTGCTGCAATGCATTTTTAATTTTTTATTTTTTAAATAAAGGAATTGAGGGTGGTGCTGGTTGGAGAGCCCACCCTGGCATACTCCTTCTTGCTGTGTCATCTGTGGTACAGAGTATTTCCAGGACCCTCAACCTCTTTTAGGTCCCTGAGCAATAAGGCTCCTACATAACACCTCACCTGGCCAACAGACCCCTTTCACTTAGCTTGCCCCAAAGTCCTGCCCCAGCATTTTTTGTTGTTCAAGCAGCACCAGTGGGAGGGAAAATGGACACACAAAAGAACCTGCGCAAAGAGAGCAGAGAAAGGGCAGTTGACTAATACATCAGTACTGATTAAGTATCAATGCCTGTTACTTTTACACTGTTAAAAAAATAATCACAGTACTGCCATGGCATCGCCTATGACCTTTATAAATCACCATTTCTTTCTTTGTTTTATCAACATTGCCCCGGCCCTGTAAGCAGCATTAAAGTTTGTCATTAAGATCCACCCAGAACCCCGCTGTTTGTACTGCTAATGCACAGGGCATTTTTTAATTACATTTGTGTTTTGCTTGCTTTGTTTATCAGTGTACTCTTAAGCACTTTCTGACACTGCCACCCAATAATGCCATTAAATTGGAAGCAAAACCAGTAAATGCTGGGACAAAAAGGAAAACGGAGATGAAGAAATAGATGAGACACACAGCTGAGTTTCAGCCCTGTAAAGTCTCGATGTTACAGCAGGATAGTACCTACAAGGTGTGTGCCTAGGTCCAGCTCTGGACAACCTTGTAAGAAATAGGAGTGCCTGCACCAGGCAGAAAGGGGTGGTGGGAAAGCCAGCTGGATACTGCTGCTTTTAAAGGCTTATATAATGACGCTGCACTGCAAACAGCCACTGGGTGCATGTTTTCGAATAGCCCCTTATCTGGGAAGTGCCTGCTGATTCCAACATGACTTCACCCAGAGTGAAGCTCTGCCCAGCCCAGTGAAGATGCACTGTGACCTGAAACTAAAATTCATCATTTGATCAAAATAGATCTTGTAAATTATAAGCTAAGTCAAATTAAATATGACATGCTGATCAGTGTCAATTTTAACCCAAGCCACAGCAAGACATCCTGGTGCCCATAGCCAAGATGTTACTTTAATGTTTATTCCATCCAGCCTATGGAATAGCCATAAGTGGATTTGGAGCTGACAGTAGCCTCTGGACAGTAGTCTAGAGTTTTTACTACCATTACTACACTCCTACCTTTCTTACCCTAGAGAGCTGCCTGGGGTAGGTGCAGATAGTGTTTATTTTGTCCTATTCTTTCCATCAAATTTTGCCAGTTCCTTCCTAAATGATCCTTGGCTGCGGCTTCCCAAATGACCCTTGGCTGCAGTGATTTTCACTGCCCTGAAACTGCTAGACCATAATAGAGTTGAAGAGCTGTAAGAGGTCTAACCCCAGCTTTTCCAAAGTCTGTACTGGGCCAAGCATTTCTATCATTTACTTGAATACAAACAGAACTGGCAGCCTCAGCTGTACAACAGCTTACAAGTTACCTAGCTGTAACAACAAATTGCAGCAGACACCCTCAAAACATTAACATACTTTCAGTGAAACTGGCTGTAATCTATTATGAAATAAGTAACCTTTCTGACTTCTAGTCAGGGTGATTCATTCAAGATCACAAAGCAACTGCAATTATTACTTTTTATGACTTACACTGAGTTTTTCAGCATATCCTAGGAAAGATGAGGCCTTTTGATGCCATAACAGACACGGAAGCATAGATAAAATTAAATAACTTGTTTTGCCCTTGCACTTGAGAACAGTGAACTGAGGTTGCAGTTATGGAGTAGATTTTGAGGAGAAAACAGATTACAAAGAGCATGAGGCATTGTTATTGAGGAAAAAGTTAACAAAGTGTAGCTGGGGGAGTTGGGCAGAATGAGGCTGGAACGAAACAGAATGGTTTTGAGGAGGGCATCAGGGATGAGGATGTCATTCTCCGGTCTTTCTGACTGTGGCTCCATCATCATTGCCTTTGGGCCCTCCCTAAGACACACGTCTCTTCTTCAGGAATCCATTCTTTCTGCTGGAACAGCTGCTTCCTCCCCTCAACACCTTCTGCCTGGCCACTTCAACATGAGGCTCCTTCTGTAAGACAGACTGAGGAGAGGACACTTGCACTGCCAAGGAGAAGCAGTGGAGAAGCTAGGCTGGGGATACTAACCAGGTGAGTGAAAAGCTCCTCCATCCTCTGGAAGCTGAAACCCTCCCTTCTCCTGGACAAACTCTTTTTGGCCTTGCAGCCAATGAACAAATGATCTGTACTGCATTAAG